TTAAATCTCATTTTTGAAAAAAAAAAAAAAAAAAAACGTGAATTGAATCGAATCGAAAGTTGAGTGAATCGTTACATCCCTAGTCTGCCGCTCCGCTCCAGCTGTGTCAGCCCAAGCACCCACTATCATTTATGTCTACTCTGGACCAGTCTCATTTAAAGCATGTTCAGTGCGCCTAAATGATGTGTGTATCCCACTGCTTTTGGACACTGGTGCCAGTGTGTCTCTCCTAAATATGCACACATACAGCACTTTTTTTGGAGTACTGCCACTTTCGGCACCCTCTGCTTCACTCTGTGGCTATGGCGACTCAAAGATTGACTTAGTGGGTTCCCTGCAAGTGACTGTTGGGTCTGGCAACAAGATGGTGCCCAGCTTTACCTTCCATGTTGCCCGTCACGGGGCCAACCTGATGGGTCTGGATTTGTTCTCAGCTCTGGGATTTTCTCAAGTTGACACGAAGACAGCTGCGATCCTGACAGTCTCCACGCTTTGGCAGCAAAATTGGCCATCCCCGTTTGAAGGCTTGGGATGCCTTACTGCTTTTGCCCACCAACCTGAACCCTGCCATTAAACCAGTCATCCAACCACTCCGACGCATTCCCTTGGCTCTCCGTGATGGTGTCTCAGCTAAGCTTAAGCAGCTGCTGGACGTTGGCATTATTGAACCAGTGGATGAGTCGCCCGGGGTCTCGAACCTGGTGGTAGCTCAGAAGAAATCAGGGGCCCTACGGGTGTGTGTCGACCTGCGAGCGGTGAATAAGGCAGTGATCCCAGACAGGTTCCCTCTGCCTAACTCAGAAGAGCTCATTTCTCAGTTTCATGGCTCAACCGTGTTCTCTAAACTGGATCTCAGACAGGGCTACCTACAAGTGCCTTTCCACCCTGACAGCAGAAACCTCACAGCCTCCGTGACCAATGCAGGTGTGTTTCGCTACACGCGTATGCTGTTCGGACTCGGCTCCGCCCCCAGCTGTTTCCAAAAAATCATGGTATACCAGGGTTGGCCATTTACCTGGATGATGTGGTTATCCATGGGCCTACCCCCGAGAGTCTTTGCAGCCCTAGCTGAACACAAACTATTTTCTGCACACAAACTTTTTTCTGCACCGACCATTGAATATGTGGGTTTCTAGCTGTCGGCCAGAAAATAGTTCAGTCATGAAACTCTAGATGGCGCATTCTGACGGGGTGTTAACGTAACTGATGATATTCAGAGAGTTAAACGACTTGGCACAAGCTGATTGGTTCATGCTGCATATGCAGTCAATGAGCTTACTGCCTTGCATTTATATTGCTGGCTAGCATTCACTTCAGATTCCTGCAGCACGCTTTCAGAGTTTCTCTGAAACCCTCCACCTTCCCCAGCTCCACCCGTGTAGATCTGCTACAGGTTGTTTTATATACTATTTGTGCAGCAGCAGTATGTCTTAAATACTCACGGCACCGTATCACCATATGCATTGGCAGTAGCAAGTTCCTGTACTTGCTTGCAGCAGCAGCAATAATCTACAACTACAGCAATAACCAACAGCAGCAGCAATTCAGCAGCAGCGTAGCAGATCTATTCCGCCAAGACCAAACACATTAAAATTGTCATATCTATCACCATGCTAAAATCTTTCGAGAGTTGTCATGATTGAACTATTGTAAGCAAAAATTAGTTGGGATAAACCCTTCGTCAGGTATGTGATGTGACTGAATCACTCATGTGAACAACTTCATCATCCCAATTTTGGGCTTTTTGTAAAGCATACAGCCAAATGTGGCTAACTGCAGATGGTTAGCATATCCTCCTTCAGCCACACTAATTGTGTGACGTTGGATATGAAGAAGAACATTTGTTCCAAGAAAGAGAGACAGCAGCAGAGAGAGTGAGAGAGAGCCAACCCTGTTATTAGAGAGGTTATTATTGGGCCTTGTGACAGTCTAATGGGAGGGGGCTGTTGCAGCTTGGAGTGCAAAGCCACAGATCTCAAACACCTACATGCCACAAACTTATATCACACATACACAAACAGGAAGAGAGGAGCTCATTTACAGCAAATCTTTAGACAGCCAATTGCAAAGCCACTGATTCACACAGCACTGGGGTTCACACTGGCCCTGTGAATGTCCTTCACTGTCGTGTCAGCATCACCTATCCTATTCATAACAACAGGCATCAACCAGATACATATCATCTATAGCTCATGATCTATACATAACTTTTTCAGATACAAAAAAATAAATAAATACATATAATATATATATATATATATATTAAAAAAGTTTATATATTACAAAGTTATAAAC